GGGTTTCCCGGCTTTCTGATGCTTTTAACTACTCCAAAGCATATAGAGCTGGACCGAACCCCAACCCACCTACATCCTACGAGAGAGTGCAGCCTAGGTTCTACGACTGCATACAGCCTATCTACCACCCCCTAAAATATCTGACTGTTTGGGGGAAGATATTGGGATAGAACCACCAGTTGCAACCTGATTATAAAAGTTCGCCTATGCTTTCTCCCTCATGTTTAAATATCTCCCAGAAACTTCCCTCACCAACCGCTGAATTAGTCTTTCTTCTTCTTCTTCTGTAAACTCCGGTGGGAAGTTCTGGGTGCTCGTCCATTTATGGACATTATTCTTGTTCCAGAACCTGAGTGTTACGTGCACATTCGCTTTACAGATCTTATTAATTTTTTGTGCAGACTGTTGGTTCCTTGCCTCTCCGGCAGATGCACTCGAAGAAAGCACCCAATTAGTCGACTCTAATGACATGCTGGTTGGGAAGACAGTCAGTGTATTCTTGGTTTCACTGCAATGGGGCCCTAAAACTCACACAGGGAGAATTAGTGTTTCAAATGAAAACGTTTTAAGCGTGATGGAAGCAATTACATTACCTATGCCATTGTCAAAGTCGGCTTTGTGGCTGAGTCGATGCGAAAGCATCGTAATACCGGGATGCCGGGTTCGATCCCAGCTGCGGGCAATGCCGACCGTCCAGGCAGCTGTTGGGGTTGGTTCTGCAACGTCCTGTAAAGGATGCGCAACTAACCTAACCAATGCCATTGTCATATATATTGGCTGTACTTGCAGGCATTCTTCACAATACTAGATTTTCATTCGCCAGTGAATCTCTGAAAGTTTCACTCCTTCACTGGTTTAAAAAAAAAAACCCACAGAATGCAGCTCGTCTTTGGTGCTTATACAAAGTGAGGCTGCCATCTTTAAAGTGTCATTATGACCTTACCGTGTACGTGTGAACCACGATGTCACGTGCTTACCACTCCTGACATCGCTAGCAAGAACATTGACAGGTTACAAGGCAATGGCACTGTCATTGTAATCACTCTTCTAAGGTTTTTTTTTTTTTTGCCCACCCCCACCCCTCCTCCGCCATATCTCCGTTCCAGGCATCCCTTCATCACCTTGTGTATCTGTGAACTCCTCAGTGGGGAGCTTCCATACAGTGTTGCCACGTTTCTTTGAGAGAAAAAACATCCAAAAAGGAGTCAAAAATATCTAAAAACATCTACATTTGCGTAGGAAACATCTAGAAAAAACATCCAAATGGAAAGAGTCACAAATTACATAGCAAATGATATGACTTACTCTATATAATCATGTCCTCATCTTTACTGAAGTCTGCCTTGCAAGATCCACAGGATAAACTTAGCTTGGATGATGAAGTTAAAGCTTCAGATCCAAAATGATTCTGGTATGCTTTAGCTGTTCCAATTTCTTTCAATGCCCAATCATGGAACTGATAACCTGAACAGTCTTTTTCTACTCTTATCATGCCGAGTTTTATTGTCAAGATAGCATTTAAGAGGTCAAATTTCATCCTGTTTCTTAGGTTAGATTTGATAAATTCACTCCAGAGGAAAAACGTCTAGAAAACATTTACCATCTAAACGTCATCTAAATGCAAGGGGAAAACATCTAAATCTGGATGTAAAACATCCAAAATGGCAACACTGCTACTATTACAGCTTCTGATCACAGAGAACCCCCCCCCTCTCTCTCTCTCTCTCTCTCTCTCTCTCTCTCTCTCTCTCTCTCTCTCTCCAGTCTCCGTGTATGTTTAGTCTATTGTCACCGTCTGTGGCAAATGCATTGCAAACGTGCTTCGTAATTCCGAAATACTATGTTCGATTCCAGCTGCGAGCGATCTGACAACATACTTTGTGTTGATTTCCACAATGGTATGGAGCCCACATTGCAGGGAGCAGTGACAAACTACTGAGCTTTGTAGTGTAACTAATCTTTCACACGTTACAGTTACTTTGTCAGTAGCATAACCATGCAGGGAGCAGTGACAAACTACTGAGCTTTGTAGTGTAACTAATCTTTCACACGTTACAGTTACTTTGTCAGTAGCATAACCATGCAGCTTTCTTTTCGCTATAGATACAACGTTACAAAATTGCCTCAGTTAGTGTCTTGAGTTTACACAACAAATATTGAAACCTGGTATCTGTGAGAGCACAAAGAAGAAGAATCTGGACACTTGATACTTGTGTGCTAGCGGGAAGAAAGAAGGAGGAGAAATACAGAAGAAGAAGGGAGAGATAAAGGAGAAAATGGTGATTAGAACAAAAGTAATAGTTTCCCGCTAAACAACAAAAACAGGAAAGTAAAGAAAAGACAGGGGTTTTTCTGCGCAGAGATCCTAGAATATTTCACTGAGACCCAAACTATGAATGTCTGTATAGTGAGTTACATGACGTCGACCTAAGTACTTCGGTACACACACTTAGACGAACCACGGACTACAGATCCTAAATTAAATCAAGCAAATTAATTATGATCACATTAAACAGCTGTTTATTTTACCTAACATAACATTAGTGTGGTCCACAAATAACATTAACAATAACCAACGTGCTCGACCAGAATCTAAAGCGATCATCAGCTAACAAGGAAATATACTAATGAAACCATACGCCCAGCAAGATTACCTCAACAATGGCAAAAACCGAAATATATTTAACATGTACTTTAAGCTTCAGTATGCCAACAAATCACTTATAGAGACCTGTCATCAAACTACCTCCTAGCGAGAATACAAAATGGAAATCAAATCTACCACCACCTAACCAATTGAAACGTACCGTGAGATCAGCCAGGGAAATCAGTCAGACAACGGCCTTCCCCTGTAGTCGCCTACCCACGCTGTTCAGCCTCCAGTGCAAGGCTACAACAGCCAAGTAGGTCTCCACAGGGTGCGTCCGGAAGTCAAAATCGCTCGCTGAAAAGCTTAACAAAGTCTTTTATACCCAGCGACAGACGTTTCTTGCATTACCGTCTGAACCTTATAGCTGTTCCTGTGGCCTCTTGGTCATTTTTAAATCAGATTAAATCAAAATAATTGAGCTGCTGAACAGTAGTCATCGTCGTTTACACCTTGTCACACTTGTTCTAATATCATTCTTTTCTTTCTGATTTTCCAGCACCCAGTTGACATGTCTGTAACAGATTTGCCGTTTGATGATTTGTGTGCGCAAATGAAGAAACAACCCCGCAACACAGATGCCACTCTTCTGGCGTTTAGAATTAGAGTGAGTGTGCGCGTTCGCCATCTGGGGGCCTGGGCCTCATGTAGGGAGCCGTGGGGGAGGGGCGGGTGGGGGTGAGGGGATAGAACCACTTTGACTACAGTATCTGGTGAAACGCGACTAATTAAGGTTTTTTTTTTAAAGTCCTCTTTGTTGGGAAGAAAGGCGAGGATAGCGCAACATAGCTGTAAACTGCAACACAACGTTTCAAACGCTTGTTTTAAGAGCGAATGCTAAATGAGAGGAGGAAGAAGAAAAAGAGGAGGAATAAGAAGAAGAAGTAGAAGAAGAAGAAGGGTAGGAGAAGGAGAGAAAAAAAAGAAAACAAAGAAAGAAAGAAAGTAAAGAAAGAAAGAAAAAGAAAGAAAGAAAGAAAGAAAGAAGAAAGAAAGAAAAAGAAAGAAAGAAAGAAAGAAAAGAAAGAAAGAAAGAAAGAAAGAAAGAAAGAAAGAAAGAAAAGAAAGAAAGAAAGAAAAAGAAAGAAAGAAAGAAAGAAAGAAAGAAAGAAAGAAAGAATGAAAGAAAGAAAGAAAGAAAGAAAGAAAGAAAGAAAGAAAGAAAGAAAGAAAGAAAGAAAGAAAGAAAGAAAGAAAGAAAGAAAGAAAGAAAGAAAGAGCCAATTACATGATCACTGATACAACATACAGTTACAATCTCATCCCCTATGTTATTCTGATTACTCAAACCAGCAACAACCTCGCCTTTCCTAGACTGTTTGGGAAATGCCTAAGTTAAAATTCCCGGACGCCGCTACCTGAGTCACAGACCTTATTCCCAGCCCAGATCGGACTAAAGTTTCTTTCCAATCGGGTGCTCTTACATAACTGATTTATGTTGTTGAACGGGGCTTCACGAATTTGTGTCTGTTTGATTTGAATCCTTGAGATATTAATCATCCACACTGCGATCCTAGCAGAGAACAACTACATACCTTAGCTGTTACATGATAAGGCAGACATTTTTGTTGGTCTATTTCAACATTTTCCACGGCTTAGCCCGCCGGTTAATGAACACTGCTGTACAGGACGTAGTAGAACCAACCCCCTAGCATTTGTTGGCTGTAGTATGTTTACAACGCTTCGTAATGCCAGAATGCCGGGTTCGATCCCAGCTGCGGGCCATGCGCATTGTGTTGGTTTCGAAAGAGGTAACAAGAAAGCCGACCGTCTAGAAAGCAATGACAAACTACTGGACGTAAATTTGCCTAGAAAAACCACACAACAGCCAGGGGCTGTTGGGGTTGGTTCTTCAACGTCCTGTAAAGGATACGCAACTAACCTCTTTCTATATGTTTACTAGGTACTTTTACATTAAATAATTTGCCACTGCTTACTCCACGTTCGGGTTCCGATTTAACTCCTTGAGTACCAGAAGCTTTTTATCGGAGATTCCAATATGTATAAATACCCAGTGTATTGTTTTCAAAGACGCTAAATACCAAGAAAGCCAGATTTCTTATGAAAAAGACTACCACATATTACACGCTGAGTAGGATTCACAGCAGTGCTTATTATGCATCACACATTGTTTGGGACTGAAAACGTCAACTGTCGGAATCAACGCAAAGCGGTCTGCTGATAAATCGCCAGCAGCTGGATTCGAATCGGATGTTTCGGAGTTCACTCCACTCAAACCACAAGCGCCAATGGATTTAACTGTATAGAAAGGTCATTATTGTAGCCCTCATTAATATCCACTGTAATGATGGTCCACATGCTAATGCTTAATTAAGTCAAAGTGCTGGCCTCCTCAGGCTGTCCGCACTGACGTCAACACCAACGCCATAGTGGCCCTGTTACACACTGCTAGTACTGACCTAGTTGACGCTGGTGAGCGTTCTGATGCGGCAGGGAGTTCTGTGAGTACTGATGTTTTAGATGTTTCTATGGGTACTGCTGTTTTAGATGTTTCTGTAAGTACTGCTGTTTTAGATGTTTCTGTGAGCGCAGCTGTTTTAGATGTTTCTGTGAGTACTGTTGTTTTAGATGTTTTTGTGAGTACTGCTGTTTTAGATGTTTCTGTGAGTACTGCTGTTTTAGATGTTTCTGTGAGCGCAGCTGTTTTAGATGTTTCTGTGAGTACTGCTGTTTTAGATGTTTTTGTGAGTACTGCTGTTTTAGATGTTTCTGTGAGTACTGCTGTTTCAGATGTTTCTATGAGTACTGCTGTTTCGGATGCTTCTATGAGTACTGCTGTTTTAGATGTTTCTATGAGTACTGCTGTTTTAGATGTTTCTGTGAGCGCAGCTGTTTTAGATGTTTCTTGAGTACTGCTGTTTTAGATATTTCTGTGAGTACTGCTGTTTTAGATGTTTCTGTGAGTGCAGCTGTTTTAGATGTTTCTGTGAGTACTGCTGTTTTAGACGTTTCTGTGTGTGTGTGTGCAGCTGTTTTAGATGTTTCTGTGAGTACTGCTGTTTAAGATGTTTGTGTGTGTGCAGCTGTTTTAGATGTTTCTGTGAGTTCTGCTGTTTTAGATGTTTCTGTGTGTGCAGCTGTTTTAGATGTTTCTGTGAGTACTGCTGTTTTAGATGTTTCTGGTGGTACTGCAGTTTTAAATGTTTCTGTGAGTTCTGCCGTTTTAGATGGGTTTTTTAGTACTGCTGTTTTAGATGTATCTGTGTGTACAGCAGTTTTAGATGTTTCTGTGAGCACTGCCGTTTTATCAGTTAGTACTGATATTTTAGTTGTTTCCGTCAGCACTTTGTTTTAGATGGTTCTTTAAGTACTGCTCTTTTATATATTTATGTGAGTACATGCTGTGTTACTGAAGCGGCTAGACCCTCGTCTGCGAATTCGAAGGTCGTGAGTTCGAATCCTAAGATTTTAAAAAATGACTTGTCAGTGTCAGGTCGACCTAACCTTAAATGGCTACCATGTAAAATCGTAGGAAGTAAAGACGACTGGGGGGATGTTGACCACGTTACCCCTCTGGTGCCGATTGGTCTACGATATATAGGTCTAGCCCTATATGCCCACTGAGTATTCCCGAAGGCGTGGAGAAAGGTCCTCTATTTGTGTGTTACATACAGGTCGTAACAGAGAAACATGAGAATGAGATCAGATGCGCCGCCGACAAAAGAAAACATTTGGGGTGTCTGTTTCGGGGGGTGGGTGGGGGGGGGGGGGGGGGTCGCTAGCGCTCTCACAAATGTTTGACTGGTATGGGAGAGGAAGGACCCCTTAGGAAACTAAGCCATGTTTAAGCTCAGATATGCTCTTGCAACCAGGCTTTACAATGAAATCCATTCTGTTGCAACAGGTGGTGCGCACCCCGCCCGCAGCACAAGAACAGACTAATAAGCGACCACCCCCCAGCGGGCTGGCTATTTTCGGGCGTTGTTTTGGAGGACTGGGGATGTGTCACCAACCTAAGGTAGGGTTGCCAGATAATCCGTTTTCCCAGGATTACTCAAATTTTTTTCATTTTTACTCTCCAAATTTTGTTCCTTTAGAATAAGTTTACTTTGCTGATTATGGATATTTTATAGTCTATAAACAGGGATATTAAGTCGCTATAAACAAATGTACTTTAATTTTTAGACGACCCCCCTCTCGTCGGCTTCGAGATTTTATAGGGAATTCCCAGGGATTTCTCTGGGCAGTCCCATATTATAGGGGGGTTAGGTTTAGAATCAGAATTAAATAAATAGCGACTACTACTAACACTAATGCTAACCCGTTTTCTATGAGACATTCTGTGGATTTCGCTACCAAATCTCGAAGCTGACGAGATTGAGTCGTCTGAAATTGAAGTAGCTAAACCAAGATTCGTTAGCCTGTTTTATTTGACAAAATCTGGCAACCCTAACGTAAGGGGGCAGATGCTAAGGTGTATGTCTGAGTGTGTGTGCATCTATGTGTGTGTGTTTGTGTGGGGGTCATGTTTGTAGAAATATTTATGTGTTTGCGCGCGCGTGTGTGTGTGTGTATGTATGTGTGTATTTGCGTGCGCATGTGGTGTGTGTGCGTGCGCGTTTGTGTGTATGTCAGTGAGAGAGGGGACGTGTCAAATGGAGGGGCCGTGTACCGTCCTGAGTGGTGGATTTTCTCGGTGTGCTGCAAGCCTCCGAAATGTCGCCTCCAATAGCTTGGCGCTGTCAGATCTCAAGTTCAAATAGTATTTGGCTATCCTCCGAATAACGGGCACTAAAGATGGCGGCCGCAAAATATCCTTTCGAGTCACAGTCACGTGTCAATCGCGCACTTCCGGCGACTTAATTTGCGGTTTTCCGGCGGTTTTCCGGCGACTACCACCACCGCCAACGCGTCCCCCACGCGGCGTGGACTGTGGCTAAACTAGATGGCTAGGACCCACGAGCGTGGGACACGTGGTGGCGGTAGTCGCCGGAAAACCGCAAATTAAGTCACGTGACTGAGGCTCGAAAGGATATTTTTGCGGCCGCCACCTTTAGTGCCTATTATTCAGAGGATAGCCTAGTATTTTAATTTCGCTACCCATGCCGCCTTGTTTACGGTGTCGCCTGATGGAGCGCAAAGAATGAAATGACAAACTTTTGAACATATAAATGCTTAGCTAAATCACAAGAAGAAAAACAAGTGCTGGCGTTGGTTCTACAGTGTCTTGTAAAAGATTACGCAGCTGACCTAAATGGCACCTAGTGGTACTAAACATAAACATGGCGGCCGGATCGCCCATTGGCTCCCCGGTAGACGACTTCGTCGCCGGTCGGGACAATATTTGGGTCTGTCTTCTTTGATCGCATCCACACTGCGAGATCCCTTTTGGTGGCGTGCACTGCTAAGGCGTTCTATATGGCGCACATAGCCATGCCACAATTATAACCTCAGACTCAACCTACGGGGATGCTGATTGAACGTGACCATTTTTCTTTTTAAAGCAAAGCACCGCATCGTAGTACTAAAACTGTGCGCCAGCTGCTAATATATATATATATACCCCGTCCAAAGCCTCCTTAACATGGTTCTCTCTAAATACTCACATCGTCAATACACCAACGCCAGTCGTAAGCATCTGTGGTGTGGACATTGAGAGAACGGACACCATGAAATACCTGGGTATGACATTTGACAGATGCTTGTCATACAAATGCCACGTAGACAACGTCATACTTAGAGCCAGATAAGGTCTGACAGCACTCAAGGTGCTAGCAGCAGCTGATATTGAACAACGCCTACTTTTCCTTCTCTATCAAGGGCTTGTGCTTAGCGTCATTGACTATGGTCTTGGCCTCCTCACTGTCAGCAAAACCCAGCTAGAAAGACTGGACCGAGTACAAAATGAGGCCATGAGACTTATACTCGGCTGCACAAAAGACACCTCCTGCAACGCCATGCGTTATGTCCTGGGTTTGCCAACGATGACTAGCAGATACAAAGTGGCACAAGTCAAGGCTTACATGAGGGTATCGGCAGACGCTAACCACCCATTGCACAAAGCTATATACGACACAAAAGGAATGCGTCTCAAAAGAGGCCGCTCTTGGATGGCAAAGGCTGAGAATTTGATCCAGCAGGTATGTGACCTACGCGTTATCAGGCACGGAAAAGAATGGATGAATACACCAGTAGACATGCATGGCATCTCTAAGGTTGTCATCACACTAGGAAGGTACTGTCGGGATCAGATTCCTGCGGCCATAGACACAGAAGTAAGGGAACTGATAGATCAGCATTCAGACCCAGAAGATATCATCATCTTCACAGATGGGTCCGTGAAGCGCGGATCAAGGTCAGCATGGGCATACACAGCGCAAAGAAGGGGGAAAACAATACATGAGGACAGCGGCGCTTACCAGACAACCACGTCAAGTATGACCATGGAAATAGCCGCTGCTTCTAGAGCTTTAGCATGGGTATCCGAGCAAACCGCCACACAAGCAGTAATTGTCTCAGACTCAATGAATATGCTTCAGAAAATAGCAACAGGCAGTATGCGCTCTGAATGGATAGAAAGCATTCGGAAATCGCACTTAACTTCCGTAACCTGGATCTACACACCGGGTCATGCGGGCGTAAAGGGAAATGAGCGAGCGGACCAACTGGCAAGCACAGCACTAATGATTGCGGGAAAAAGCATGGACAGAGCAGATATAGTTAACGCTGTACGGACTGGGCTAGTAGATAATGATGAATTCCTGACACTAACACGATTGCGTAACAGGGGAGTAAAGTATTGTGAAGCACGTCTATGCCGTCTTCGAGGCCGAGATAGGAGACAATATAACCAGCTTCTCATGGGAACAATTAGTAGAAGTACTACAATTAGTAGAAGTACTTTGGAGTGGCTGCTGCTTCGGAGGACTGCGCACGCATGGGTATGCCCAATGTGCAGTGACGTCGATTGTGATAACAAAACACAAAATAACATTTTATAGGAAGTCGGCATTCTGAAACCCAAGTTCAAGGTGTCTCCTTCGTGCCAAAGAACTGCATGGCTGTTGGGTGAACAGTCGTTAACGAAGGCAGTCAGGTCGTTGTAGGGGCGACGCCTGCTGGTGGATGTAATGTCCTAAGTCCCTTTCCCAGCTAATAGTGAGGGTACTGCTGGGGTGACCATTTGTTAACCCCTCACATAATGCTTCAAGTCACAGTGGACACTAGGCACGACCACTTTTTTTTTTTTTTTTTTTTAAAGCCGTGGCAGTTCTGCCAGGCGGTGGCCGTTGCATTTTTGCTCCATTTGTAGACTGGAAGGATATAGTTTCGTCACCCAGCTTCTGAGTTGAGTGCATGGTGTGACACTGTGAGCTACGAGTGTTTTTCGTTGGCACAGGAGCGGAGCAACAATGGGGTGACCCGTTTGCTATGATGCTGAAACTAGGATTACCAGATTACCAGATTACCAGATATATATATATATATATATATATATATATATATATATATATATATATATACATATTTCAACGGCCTCAAAGGTTTCCCCTCTGTTTATTTGACTTATTTTTCCAAAAATAACTTTGACTCCCAGGTCGACCCAGCCTTGAGTGGGTACTGGGTGCAGTCCCGGGAAGTAAAGGTGGCCAGCGTGATGCTAATCACATCAGCCATCTTGTGGCGATTGGTCTATGAGAATATAGGTCGAGCCCTATATGCCCAATACGCCTGAAGGCGTAGAAAAGGGTCCTTTACTTTTACTCTGTTTATTTATGTAAATTACTGAACGTGGAAGACATGCCCGAGGTTCATGCTGTCTCTGTAAATCTTAAAATGTTCTCCGTGGTTCAGGAAAATGACGAGCCTAAGATGGTGCCTATGAAGAGCAAGCTGAAGCAGAAAGACGGGCAGCCTTTGTTGCACAATGTTCCCATCAGTCTGGCTGAGGTGATTCATCTCCAAGTATGTCTATCGGTTGCAGTAGAAAATGTTGCATTGGCTTGTCTTAGAACAGTGGCTCTCAACCTTATGAACAAGGGGACCCTTAATTCAGTTCCTCGTGTTGTTGCGATCCCTCAACGATACCATTATTTTCGTTGCTACTTCATATCTTCAGTGAATATGTTGTTTGACCTCTGTGAAAGGGTTGTTAGACCCACAAACGGGTCACGGCCCACAGGTTGAAAACCACTGAGTTAGAGAGTAGGTTATAGGATCAGGACTGAAATAGCTGGATTAGAACATCGGGGAAAACTGCTGATAGAGACGTCTGGCGATCTCTCTGGCAAACCTCTACACCCCAAGGTAGAAGAGGAACGACTAAGTAAGTAAGTAAGAACATGGGGGGGTGGGGGGGGGGGAATTACTAAAGTGCAGGGTTATTATGAAAATGTGAGGTCATTACTTAAACTGTGGAATCGTTACCCAAGCTGTTATGTCATAACTTAAACTGTGAGGTCTTTACTTAAACTGTAGGGTCTTTACTTAAACTGTGGGATCGTTACTGAGACTGTGGGATCATTACTTAGACTATGGGATCGTTACTCAAATGTGGGATTATTACTTATAAAGTGTGGGGTCGTTAATTGAACCGTGAGATACTTACCTAAAATATGGGATCATTACTCACATGTAGGGGGTCGTTACCTAAACTGTGGAATCATTACTCCTATATGGGGGTCATTACTCAGATGTGCGGTCATTACTTGAACCGAGGTCATTGCTGAAACTGTTGGATCATTACTAAAACTAAGATCAATGTAGATTTCTCACAAATGTCTCCATCCTGCTGTGGTAATGGGACTTGTCAGTTCTACTGCTGCTAAGAGCCATGCCAAAGATAGTTTAGCTTCTGGTCCAGATTTCCCATGTCGGACAGGTCAAAGAATTCAGGCGAAGAGGGACAACACCGATGCGTTGAAGACAGACCGCAGTCAGTCAGAGCCTGAGGAAAGCAAACCTGAAGAAAATTCTTGTCCAAATCGCATGTGGAGCAGCAGGCTCAACGTCATTCGCTCCAGGGTGTTAATGATAGTCCGGAGTGTAGACGCATTCACCGAGTACAGCCAATCCTGAAATGTGGAAGTGAATCATTTACACAGTCCGACAGTTAAATAATACGACTGATGTTATTATGGTCAGATCAAAGCACGCCATTCACATAGCAAACATGTCCCAACAGTCACCATTATTCTTTGATCTCTGTGCACGTATGTTTGTGCGTACATTCGTGTGTGTTGAGATATTATATAGTTCATGGGCCTCATCAAGTCGAAGTCCGGCCCTGAAGGAGTCCCTAATTGTGTGTTCTGAACGCATTTTCTATTGTGCTGTGTATGGTTGACCTGTCTCCTGTTACCGCTGTAATCCCAGGGCATGGATGCAACAGCAGGACTTAGTTCATACCTGGAAGTGTACGCCAAAGAGGACGCCGTTGTTGTGCAGGTAAGGGAGACAACACAAAGTCTTGTCTGTAACCGTTCTACCCCTATCTTGTCCTTAGTCTGCAACTGTCGTGTCTGTAGTATGTCACCGTCTTGTCTGTAGTATGTCATTGTCTTGTCTGTAATCTGCCACTGTCTTGTCTGTAGTTTACCACTGTCTTGTCTGTAGTTTTTCATTGTCTTGTCTTTGTTTTTAGTTTACCACTGTCTTGTCTGTAGTTCGGAATTGTCTTGTCTGTAGTCTGCCACTATCTTGTCTATAGTCTGTCGTTGTCTGGTCTATAATATCATTTATAGTCTATATGTACAATTACTTAAACATGTTAAATATACTAAGAATATATGAAAACATTGTATTTTACAGTTCTATTGATCCCAACATCGGACATTATTACCAGTACTTTTAGGTAATTTCTCATTTTCTTATCACACTGCACTGTCCAACTTTATTATCACACTGTACTGCCCTGCTCTATTGTCCACTTTATTCCCACACAACATTCCTACACTACATTCCTACACTACATTCCCACACTACATTCCCACACTAAATTCCCACACTACATTCCCACACTACATTCCCACACTACATTCCCACACTACATTCCCACACTACATTCCCACACCACATTCCTACACTACATTCCCACACCACATTCCCACACTACATCCCCACACTACATTCCCACACTACATTCCCACACTACATTCCCACACTACATTCCCACACTACATTCCCACACTACATTCCCACACTACATTCCCACACTACATTCTCACACTACATTCCCACACTACATTCCCACACTACATTCCCACACTACATTCCCACACTACATTCTCACACTACATTCCCACACTACATTCCCACACTACATTCCCACACTACATTCCCACACTACATTCCCACACTACATTCCCACACTACATTCCCACACTACATTCCCACACTACATTCTCACACTACATTCCCACACTACATTCCCACACTACATTCCCACACTACATTCCCACACCACATTCCTACAGTCTACTGTTCAATGATGTGGCTAGAGACACAGCTTATTTCCAATGCGTGCTTTCTAACTTCTAAGAGCGTGCCTAAGAAGATAGAGACAGGATTGATTCGAAGACAATGGTTGGAGTCGCTGAAGACATCTCGTTTGAAAAGAATTGGTTTTATTTTTGTGCCAAGATACTCTGGAGTAAGAGGGAATGAACGAGCAGATTGCATTGCTGGCAGGGCGACGGTTTGTACAGGAAAAGCAATGGACCGGGCCGCTATTCTCATTGCCTTTAAGGATGTAGGACGCGAAGATAATTCAGGAGACGACGCTGAATCGGCAGCACTTAAAATACTACCAGAACTTCGGGTCAAGAGAGGTGACTCCAAACATGAGCATTACACATATAGCCAAAGATAAATAGTAAACCAACAGAGAACTGGTTTTATCAGTCGCCACACGCTGAGGGATTTACTGAAGGTAGGATCTGAGCGCTCAAGAACTTGTGCAGTGATGGCAATCTTTCGATTAACTAAATAGCTAAAATAATGAATGAGAAAATAAGTCCGCTGTTCAGAAATATGTGGTATCTCACTGCAGATGCTGAAAGCCCATGGAGCTATTACGGTCATGCGCACTAACGTCCCGCAGACAGCGTACTTCACGTATGTACGGCTGCTGTTCTTTGAAAATGTATGGGTATGTCTGTGAGTGGTTTTACAATATAGTAGATTTTCTGTGAAACATATGTGTGTGTGTCCTCGAGTAGTTTTACAGTCTGGTCGATTTTATGTAAAATATATGTTTCTGTGTCTGTGAGTGGTTTTACAGTACAGTCGACTTTCTGCTAAATATGTTTGAGTCAGTGAGTATGTTTTATAGGTACGACTGTCATTCTGTGAACCATATGTGTATATGAGTATGTCTGTGAATGGTTTAACATTATGGTAGACTTTCCAGCTAAATATATGTATGTATATATTATATGTGTATGCATGTATGTATGTGTGTGTATATATATATATATATATATATATATATATATATATATATATATATATATATATATATATATATATATAAATGAGTCTGTGAGTTGGTTGTATAGTACGGCTGTATTTTATTTTGTAAAATATATGTGTATGTGGACTGGTGATACAGTAAGGCTACCATTATGTGAATATATATGTATGTCTGTGAGTGGTTTTACCGTATAACAGACTTTCTTTTAGATATGATTAGGAGTTTATGGTAGTTCGTCCACTTCTGGACTTAGGTCTTGTTCCATAACATGAATTTTGCGTGCACATCCTTTTTACAAATTAATCATATTTGTATGCATACTGGTGGTTCACCGCCACTCTGACAGGTGCACTTCAACTCCCAAGGAAATACTCCTGATTAGACATGCTTGTTGGGGGCAGAGAGTCTATTCCCGCCTACCCCCGCCCCCAAATGAGGCCCTGGAACACACACGAGATTGTTGTACATAATATTTGTCCTTCTGTAAAACATACGTGTCTGTGAGTTGGTACATCTATGGGTTCAAAAGACGTCATCGGTGACCTTTGCTTGTATTGACCTCTTGGGGACTGCGGTAATCTAGTGGCGAGACGCTGCTGGCCTGCCAGCTGGAAAGTAGAGTTCGAATCTGCTCTAAGATTGATTTTCATAGAATGACCTTGACTCCCAGTTCCCAGCTGCCAGCTCGACCAGGCCGAACATGAGTAATGATGATCTCATGGGAAGTAAAAGTGGCTACATAACTACATCATCCAACCTGCAGAGATTGGTCTACAGAAGTGTGGATCAAGCACCATAGCATGATGATCCGATGAAGTGAAACATCTTTCGCTATCCTTAACTATGATATAAGAGTAATTTGGTCACATTTGTCAGTATATTTTGAAGACTAAGCACTTCTGTGTTAGACCAAAGGGAAAGACAATATTAGCTGAATGTAAAGTAAAAAACCCAATTTCTGCACTTTTAGACGTATTGGGTAACTAATACTTGACCTATGTTGTATAGACCGGTCGGCACTGGATAGGTGATGGGTCAGAATCACGTCTGCCGTCTTTGCTTACCGGGACTGTACCTGATACCCATTTTAGGCTGGGTCGACTTTGGAGCGAGGGTAAATTGCTTTTTTTGTGTGTGAGTGGGGTTGGGCCACGACTCGTCGTTGCTGGTTTGAACCCACGTCCTTCAGACCCAAAGCAGCAAATTATTACATGTTCTACAACTATAATATACGATAGTGGGATGAGGAAGAGCAGTTAAGGATGACATTTTGGAAGCGCTCCGTATGATGTATAGGTTATATAGTAAAATATTTTTAATAAATCGATAATATCCTGGGGTATCTGTTGCTACTCTCATAGGTTATATAAGAACATATCCATAAGGTGTATTAGATTATTTAAGAAAATACTAGGGATGCCGGATAGATGACTGGTGGATCTTTAGGTTGATATAGCAAAATATAAAAATGGATGAGTAGTTCAAGGGGTAAACGGTGCTGCACGTATAAGGTTATATATGGAAATATCAGTGGGATCAATTACTAATAACAAATGAATTATAAAATTCCAGTTTTGGCTCATCGAACCCAATTTTTGGGATGACTAGAAACCCCTACAAGTTTGACAGAAGTCCCGGGGGTACCTCCAGTGGCGAGGCGGTTATGGCATCAGGGCGAGGCTGCCTCCTTGGTGTGGGGATAGATCTGGCAGGAGGTCTGCGTGTCCCAGCTCACTTCTGTGGTGTCTGTGGGTTCAAGCCCACGTCAGAAAGAGTCAGGTTTGTGTCAAGTATCTCTAGCTAGTTAGTTAGTTAATCGGCAGGTTACCCTCATTGCACATTAAACCATTCAGTCCATACGTGCTCAGATCCCCCACTCAGTAAATCCCGCAGCGTGCAGCGGCTAACGACACCAGTTCTGTATTGGTTTCTTATTCTTCTTTGGCTTCCTGCATTGTTCTTTTGTCTGGCCTCACCCCTTTTTCTAACATGTTGTTCTTGCAGTCTGGTCATAGTTGCAGATTCACAGTCCTCACTCGGTTCTCGCAGTGTCACACTTCTCGTAGAGTATTCAGAATATCAGCGCGGTTCATGGCTCATCCGCCCTTCATGCTGGCGTTACCTGCAAGCCCGTCAGTCTGTCTGCAGGCCCTCAGTTGTTTGTACATAAATTGTTTATTTAGCAAATGTCTAACCTTAATACGATGGGTTGGCTGTATATCAGGAAATCTTTATGTAACTCTGAACAACAATCCGTGTTTATATCTTTCTCACACACTCACACACGCACGCACGCACAGACACACACACACACACACACACACACACACACACACACACACACACACACTTGTCTTAACGCCATTCTGGTTTGAGTGCAAAGAATTACTCCAGCAGGCAACAGTTATTCGCTGCATATTGCTTCACGATTTACGTCGTGTACGTTTTTTCTCTCCCAAAGTGTAGTAAAACTTAATAAACATCCTGTATTAACAGTGTAAGTTCTAAATCACAATCACACACTGGTGGTGGAGGAAAGGAAAAGTGGGAGAGGGGGGCGGTAGTTTTCATGCTTTGAAGAGCACCGTTTAAATAGTATCAGTCCTGTTATTTTTTAATGCAAATACGCCCCCAAAAAGCTATATTGTTAGCTGTCACGCCGAAGAGTTATGAACAACTACTGGTGCTTGTCTAAGCCGGGTCGACCTAGAACTCGGGTCAGATTGTAGAAATCCCCTCATCCATCGTGCTTCCAATATGCTCGCACGCCAGATATAGGCACCAAAGCACACACACATTTCAAAGGATCAAGAAATAGGGATTACGCAAAGTCAGAAATAGACTTTGAGAAGGTCGAAGAGTCGAAACCAAAGTGAGAAAAACAATTTTCGCGCGAGTCAGGGGAGGGTGATCACAGAAAGTGAGAGACAAACCTTGAGAAGGTCGAAGGATCGAGACCAAAATGAGAAAATGTTTGGGGGGGGGGGTCAGGGGATGGTGATCACAGAAAGTGAGAGACAAACCTTGAGAAGGTCAAAGAGTCGAGACAAAAGTGAGAAAATATTTTTGGGGGAGGTCAGGGGATAGTGACCAGAGAAAGTGAGAGACAAACCAAGAGAAAGTCTAAGATACTAGACAAAGAAAAACACAAAACTTCCAAAAGGTCAAGAGGCAGCGACCAGACAAGAGCGAGACATACACCTTCAGAAGGTCCAAGAGTGGGGACTAGACAAAGTTCTCTTAATTTGTTTGAATAGTTCATTAGCGTCGGCGTCTATGGCTTAGGCGCTGTGAACACGCTACCTAATGCAGGGGTGCCGGGTTCGATCCCAGCTGCAACGATTTGTCTCGCGTTGGTTTCGACAGTGGTGCCGAGAGCTGACTGTTCAGTAAGCAATGGCAAACTACTGAACGTAACATTTGCCTTAAAAAACCTCAACAGCCACACACACACACACACACACACACACACACACGCACGCACGCACGCACGCACACACACACACAAAACCCAGCTGGGTTTGGTTCTGCAAAGTCCTGTAAAGGATACGCTAACTAAAAAGTTCATTAGCCCAGTTTACCCGAAATAATGTACGAGTGAGAAGGTTCATGCCGTTAATTGTCGTGTAATGATGAGCACTGATGCTTCTTGTTTTTGTGTGCAGCCGTCTAGGCGTCACAGTTCCCGCGGAGGGACAGAACGCAGGTAAGAATGCTCGCCTGATCTGTTGATGTCCATACAACCTTTGATCATGACCACATACTTGTTTCTGAGACAGGGCTTAGCATAAAGCAGCCATGCTAACATACCCACAAAAACCTTGGCTTTCAATGTCTTTCGGCAGGGATGGGATTAATTCTAGTTTAAGGGTATAATAATAATAAATTACAAATAAAGAAAAGGATCCTTTTCCACGCTCTCAGGCGTTTTGGGCTAGACCTATATTTTATAGACCAATAGACACTTAGTGGGTAATTTTGTCACCATCACGCCGCCGCCTTTACTTTCCAGGACTTTACTTGGTACCCGTTTAAGGCTGGGTCGACTTGGAAGTTTAGGTTATTCTGAGAAAAGTCCGGCTCCATTAGGAACTGAACCCCCCCCCCCCCCTTTCGGATCCGTAGATGAGCCTCTAGCCGCTACATTACGGCGGCTTCCAAATAATAACAGAAATAATAATGATAGGTAATAGTAAAGGACCATTTCCACGCCTTTCAGGCGTATTGGGTATGTAGGGCTAGACCTATATTTTATAGATCAAACGTCACTCTCTGGGTGATGTGGTCAGCATCACATCGGCCGCCTTTACTTCCCATGACTGCACCTGGTACCCACTCAAGGCTGGGTCGACCTGGGAGCCAAGGTCATTTGTGAAAAAAGTCCGGCCCACGTCAGGAACGGAACCAACGACCTTCCGATCGCAGTTGAAATTCTAGCCGCTTCATTACGGCGGCTTCCTAATAATAATAGTAATAATAACAATAATAATAATAATAATAATAATAATAATAATAATAATAATAATATAGCCAATAGCATATATATATATATATATATATATATATATATATATATATATATATATTATATATATAATATATATATATATATATATATTTGTTCGATGAAATATAAAATGTTTAAATAAATTGTGTTAAAGAGAATTTCTATGTTAAACAAGGACTGTTTAACCCCCTTACGAAATTCAGCCTCTTTCCTTTTATGTCTTCAGAATTCCTCTTATCTTCTCAATTCGTTATGACTTCACAATTCCTTACAGAATGTCTTCACATTTATTACTTTATGCCTTTATAATGCTTTACTATTTGTTTTCACGGCCCTGTACTTTATACACTTATAGTTAGTTACTTTATATCTTCCTAAATCTTCACTTACAGTTTATTACTTACTGTCTTCCCAAATCTTGACTTCATATCTTCATAATTCTTGATTTCCTGCTTCCACAACTCTATATTTACTGTCTTTACAATTATTCACTCAATATCTTCACAATTCCTCAGCTCAGGTATTGACAATTTTTTATCTCTTTACAATTCTTCATTGTATTTTTACACATTTGTCACTGCTTGTCCATTCATGTTTTCATTACTCCACAAAGATCACGTTTTCCGCTGTGTCCCCACTAGTGTTCCTCTCCACTCGTGCAGTCATGTCTCCACTCGTCCACTTAACAGTTGCCACTTGTGTCTTAGAATACTCCCCACATCCACTCACAGTTGCCACTTGTGCCATTAGAATACTCCCCACATCCACTCACAGTTGCCACTTGTGTCTTAGAATACTTCACACACCCACTCACAGTTGCCACTTGTGTCTTAGAATACTTCCCACACCCACTCACAGTTGCCACTTGTGTCTTAGAATACTCCCCACATCCACTCACAGTTGCCACTTGTGTCATTAGAATACTCCCCACATCCACTCACAGTTGCCACTTGTGTCATTAGAATACTCCCCACATCCACTCACAGTTGCCACTTGTGTCATTAGAATACTCCCCACATCCACTCACAGTTGCCACTTGTGTCTTAGAATACTCCCCACATCCACTCATAGTTTCCACTTGTGTCTTAGAATACTCCCCACATCCACTCATAGTTTCCACTTGTGTCTTAGAATACTTCCCACACCCACTCATAGTTTTCACTTGTGTCTTAGAATACTCCCCACATCCATTCACAGTTGCCACTTGTGCCATTAGAATACTCCCCACATCCACTCACAGTTGCCACTTGTGTCTTAGAATACTTCACACACCCACTCACAGTTGCCACTTGTGTCTTAGAATACTCCCCACATCCACTCACAGTTGCCACCTGTGTCATTAGAATACTCCCCACATCCACTCACAGTTGCCACTTGTGTCATTAGAATACTCCCCACATCCACTCATAGTTTCCACTTGTGTCTTAGAATACTCCCCACATCCACTCATAGTTTCCACTTGTGTCTTAGAATACTTCCCACACCCACTCATAGTTTCCACTTGTGTCTTAGAATACTCCCCACATCCACTCACAGTAGCCACTTGTGTCATTAGAATACTCCCCACATCCACTCATAGTTTCCACTTGAGTCTTAGAATACTCCCCACATCCACTCATAGTTTCCACTTGTGTCTTAGAAGACTCCCCACATCCACTCTCAGTTGCCACTTGTGTCATTAGAATACTCCCCACACCCACTCACAGTTGCCACTTGTGTCATTAGAATACTCCCCACATCCACTCACAGTTGCCACTTGTGTCTTAGAATATTCCCCACATCCACTCATAGTTTCCACTTGTGTCTTAGAATACTCCCCACATCCACTCTCAGTTGCCACTTGTGTCATTAGAATACTCCCCACATCCACTCTCAGTTGCCACTTGTGTCATTAGAATACTCCCCACATCCACTCTCAGTTGCCACTTGTGTCATTAGAATACTCCCCACATCCACTTACAGTTGCCACTTGTGTCATTATGATATTCCCCAACTCCATTTTACAGTTGCCACTTGTGTTGGTCCGATATCATCTGAGGTGGCTGGACTGGTTGCCTTCATGAAGTGTCTGTGTGTGCCACTACAACATCAGCTGGACCCAACTGTGTCCTTAGCGCCGTTCAGCCATGAGGTCTGTGTCAATGTTTAGCCATATGGTCTGTGTTAATGTTTAGCCATATGGTCTGTGTTAATGTTTAGCCACAAGGTCTGTTTTAATGTTTAGCCATATGGTCTGTGTTAATGTTTAGCCACAAGGTCTGTTTTAATGTTTAGCCATATGGTCTGTGTTAATGTTTAGCCATATGGTCTGTGTTAATGTTTAGCCACAAGGTCTGTTTTAATGTTTAGCCACAAGGTCTGTTTTAATGTTTAGCCATATGGTCTGTGTTAATGTTTAGCCATATGGTCTGTGTTAATGTTTAGCCACAAGGTCTGTTTTAATGTTTAGCCAAATGGTCTGTGTTAATGTTTAGCCACAAGGTCTGTTTTAATGTTTAGCCACAAGGTCTGTTTTAATGTTTAGCCACAAGGTCTGTTTTAATGTTTAGCCACAAGGTCTGTTTTAATGTTTAGCCACAAGCTCTGTTTTAATGTTCAGCTAATGAGGTCCTTGTCAGTGTTCAGGTAATGAGATTTGTTTCAATGTTTAGTTCATGATGTCTATACCAAAACTGGGTCCAAGCCCAGTTAATGAAGTCTGTGACAATTTTCATTTAAGTAGATATGTGTCAATGTTCAACTAATGAGACCTTTGTCAATGTTTAGCTAATAAGGTCTGTGTCGTGGTTAGCTAACGATGCCTGTGTCAGTGTTTAACTATGATGTCTTTGGTAAAATTCATTTAAGAAGATTTGTCAGTGTTCAGTCTATGATGTCTGTGCCCATCCAGGGTCCATGTCCGGTGAAAGATATATGTTTCAGTGTTCACTAAATGTGTAAATGTTCATTTCGTGATGCAAATGTCATGTACTGTCAATTTTCAATCAACAAGGGCTGTGCCAAAGTTCTGCTAACGAGGTCTGTGTCATTGTTCATTTAATGAGATCTGTGTCAATGTTCAGTTAATGAAGTCTGTGTTAATTTTCAGTCAATGAAGTCTGTGTTAATGTTCAGTTAATTAGATCTGTGTCCGTGTTCAGTTAATAAGGTATATGTCAAAGTTCAGCTGATGAGGTCTGTTTCAGAGTTCCGTTGATGAGTCT